CGTCGCCGTCGTCGTCGTCGTCGTCGTCGTCGTCGCGCTGCGCGTGAAGGAACAAACAACGGCCGTCAGCTGTTCGCGTGCGAAGGACGAATTCACGGATTGTCGTCGACGCGGAACGGAGCGCCGTGAAAGCGAGCAGTGAAGGAACGAACGAGCAAACGAGCTCCAGCCAGCTGAAGTTAGTCGCGAGACGACGAGGGGCGGAACAAGTTGGTAGTGCGCGTGTGTGTTAATCGGCGGTGGTCGTGCGAGTGTCCGCGTGCTAGCGTGATCTCGACGGGGAAAATGATGGCGTAAACCTCGTCGTGCTCCGGAAACGACGGAGAGAGAAAGAAAGAGAACGAGAGAAGAGGCGGAGGAGGAGAAGGGAGAAAGAGAGAGAGAGAGAGAGATAGAAGAGACGCGCGCCGCGTTCATATTCATCCGTGGCGGCCGTCGTGTCGAGCGCAGCAGCCGATCGTCCGTGTCCTCCGTCGTCCACGTCGATTACACATCGTCGTCGCCCGCGAGCGAGCGGAGCGTGACGCGCGGAGCAATTCGCGTTCTTCGTCATCATCGTCCTTTCCGTCGTGCGATCGAGACATCGTGCGCGGTGGTGTGTGCAGTGTTGGAAGGCAAGGAGAAAAACAAGTGTAAAGAGAAAATAGTGCTAAGGATTTATAACGCGCGTCCTCTCGTCGTTCCCTCGTCGTTCCCTCGTCGATCCTGTTGCTAGCGATCGCGCCACGTCGCGTCACGCCGTTTGTTTTGTATTTACGTGTTCGCGGATACTCGCGAAGGTGGTGCCGATCGACGCCAGGTAGCCAGCGCGGCGTGTCCTGACTGCAGCGAGGGATTATAGTGTTACGATGATCAGTGACACGTGCGGATACGTTCTCTTCCTGCTGCTGCTGTTGCTGGTTCCCTACATCGAGAGCGGTGAGTCTCAAAATACTCTTCATTTTCGACAATGCAAAGCGTCTTTTGCGTTTCGCGACAGGACGCGACTTGCGTGCGTGTATGTATGTATGTATACGGTGCGTAGTTGCGTACGTACGTTCGTGTGAATACTTTCGATGTGTGCGACGTCCTTCTGTGCGTGTATGCGTCTCTCTCGTGAATCATCCTTTCACGAAGAGCCCGCTTGTCGCGTGTTTGAACGCGTCTCTCGAAAACGGTTGAGCGAGATAGTGGCCGCGAATATACGCGCCAAGAGAAATCGTATTACACAATACATATGTTTTGCGCAAAATCTTGCGCATTTGGAAATTTAGTTTCTTTGAAACATATATACGAGAAAAATATTCAATTCGTCATATTCGAGGAATGACATTGTTTAGTTCCGATTTTGATACTATGCACGAGACACGTTATTACTGCACTCCTGTTCGCTTCCTTTGTTTGAAAATTGTTTTCGTGAGAAACTTTTTGTTGCACGCGAATTTTCAGAATTTACAGAATTCAAAGTGAATTTTTAATAAATATTATTGCCTCTCTATGATATAAAAAATTATATATAATATATTGTTTTATTGATTAATTGAATATATAATAAATAATCGAATTTATAATTATTTCGGGAAATATTTGTTTTATCTTTTCCCGTATTATAATAGAAATTATTATATCTACGCGGATGTGTACGTAGTTTCTTTTATTTAAAGTAAATAAAAAGAGTAAACATTGATAAAGAACGATATATCCAAAGCAATATAAAATTTTTGTTTGTATGACTTGTAACACATACACACACATATATTTTTGATTTATATGTGAACATACAATATATGGGATCTATAAAAGTAACTAATTGCAAATTTGCAATGGCACGATTACAAAGTCGATGCAATAAATCACATAGAAAATATAAGGATAAACAAAATTGTAAAAAAATATATAGAAAATATACGTAAAAAAAAAATAGATAAAAACAAAAAGTTTCTACAGCGTTCGATTCGAAACTGAACTCGCATCTGCGTTATACTAAATCATTATGATAACATTATGTAAATTAATCAATCCCTATTTTTGGAGTCAATATATGCACACCGTTCTTATCTTGTTCAAACTCTTCGACACAAAGATGATAAATCTGTTTCGCGGTATAATAATATCGATATCGCACGCATACAATTTATTAAAGAGACAAGAATGTGTTTTCTCAGATGTCAAATATTATCATATCGGTTGTTTACTTTTTTCTCTCCTCGCGCTTTTCGTTGCGATATATTCCAACTACAAAAAAATGAGTTACCGGTCTTTCCTTTGATCATACCTATTGTGTACTTTATTAGGAGGAAATACGATGCATTGCGTCATCATTTCCCGGAACTTCGAGTTGCATCGGAAATGCCGCCGAATATAATCCTAAAACGAGTCACAGACGAGAAACATGAATCATCCTGGTAACCAAATAATTTTCCGTGAATAATCCGTAGTTCCTCTTACAGTCCCGTACTCTAATAGATTTATAATATATATTTCTATGTGTCATCCGAGACATTGTCAAGTTTTAACGTTTGACACTCGTTATAATTTTCATGACAATTCATTGTTTCATTTAGGATTAATATAATTCTTTATAATGTATTGTCTTTAGATAAAAATTTAATTAAATATAATGAACGATGCTTCAATTTTGAAATGTTTTAGACAACTTTAAAAGGCGGAAAAGTAATTTTGAATTATAAAATACCACTGTGACAACATTTATTTTGAATAGAAATATCCAAGCACCTGCGCGTCTTTTATCCTCGAACTTTTTTATGTTTAAATGCAGATAAAGAGAGTTAATTCTTTACGATCCTGTATTAAACTGTAGGCAAGACGCAGAATTTTACAACACGTAAATGCAAAATGTGAAGTAGCGAAAATAATTCGGACCGCGATGTGCAATCCTGCGCGGCAATTGTTGCAAGACGATTGCGAAAGTTTTCTTTCCCTCTCGTGCGCGCATCGCACGAGATGTGATGTGAATGGCCCTCGACGGAAGTCGTAATCAGCGAATCACCGGCCGCGTTGGACGATAAGTTATACGTCGATGTGCTCGCGCGCGCGTCATCGTACTATTTACGATAATGGGGAAGATTAAAGAAAACTCTTGTATTCGCGCGAGATTTCCACCGACTATATCACGCCGAACATTTGTGAATCGTGAATGTGTGTGTGGGAGGATCTTATCCCGTTAGCTATATTAACGATACGCGAACGCGAGATTAGATTTCTCGCGGCGATCGTAAAATCCTCGATTAACACGCGAAATGATATAACGGGTTTTTAACGTTATTGCGTTGCTTCGTCGAGAAACATCGCCGTCTCTTTGTTACATAGTTTTGTCGCATTCCTAAAGCAGACGATCATCCGGAAGTGTGTTCGCGCATGTAAGAATCTCGCATGTACGAGACACTCGTATTTCAAAGGATCTCGCATGTGCGGGGACTCTCTTGGTTGAGCGTGCCGAGGTTCTCGCGTTTGCGAAGGACTTCGGGTGCGCGAGGATTCAGCATTTGTAAAGACCACGCTCGCATGGTGGGAGCCTTCGCGTGTGTAAGCAGCTTTTATATACAAACGGCTTTGCGACGATAAGAGCGCGCGCACGCGCGCGAATATGCTTCCCGCTCGTTCGAAAAACGGTGATCCAGAATCGCCGACGGAACGAATATACACGACACATATATACGGTGTAATATATCATACTATAACGCGCGATATTTCTTCCGGAGATGGAAGCGAGACGTCGTCGCTCGCGCGACTCCTTTCTTATCGACTTTAATTATCATCGATTTCCCCCTCCCTCTACCACTTCGCTTCCTCTCGCCTCTCGAATGCGAAACGCGAGTTCGTCGCTTCACGGAAAATCGTCGGGCTCTCCGGTTAATGAAAATCTCGCGGAAAATAAAGGAGAAAAGGCACTTCGCGCGATAAGTTCTCGCTCGAAATCCTTACTTTGAGAGACAAACAGAGAGGAGGAAGGGAAGAGAGAGAGAGAGAGAGAAAGAGAGATCGAAAAATTGCTGGTTCGAGCAAAAAGCCGCTTTGGGACGTTGCATTGTGTCCGGAATATGAAGATGGAGTTAGGACGGATGACCGAGTCATTTCATTGTCCCGCGAGTAGCGTATCTCTCAAGGACAAAAGGTCGGGTTTTCTTTTGCGGACTTTTCAATTCCTCGGTGAACCACATCCTCTCGTTTCTCGCCCCCCCCCCCCTTCACCTCTGGCAAACTTACTTCGCGAGATATCTTCAAGCGGGGCACGTTACTGCCATCTTCATCTCGAAAGGTTATACCGCGGCGAGAGATACCTGAAGCTCCCGTCCGCTCGAATAACGTAACTCAGAAGTCGAGAGACGCCGCCTTTTTCACGTGATGGGAATTATATTTCCTCCCCGCGTAATTACGCGCGAGGACGACTCGTTCGCAGACGCGAGAGAACTTCGTCGAACGAACTTGGACCGTGGAATTAATTCGCGTCATTGGTAATCCCGCCGCCGTCGTCGCCTCTCGAAGATCGAGCTTAGTTTAGTCACAGTTTCTGATTTCTAACGTAATCAAGCCGATATTGCGCCCATGATCGCCGTAACCACACGCCGTATTTGGGACTTCCATTATTCCACGCCGTGTTACGAATGGATCTGGAGTTTAACCCAGACAACGTTTTGCGTTCAAGGTCTGCCGTGTTTATTAGCAAGTGTTTCAGATCTCACTGTGTATGTATTCGACCGATAATCGTGGATTCTCGCGAGAACAATGTTTCGGTACATTTTATGTCTTGGAACACAAAGAGTTCTGCCTTTCTTTCTCCCTTTTTCCTTTTTCTTCTCTCCCTTTTTCAAAAATTTACGTCATTAACCATCCATATGCTATATACATGCTTTAGCAATTACGTCACAAGCTACTTACGTGCGTTAAACTAAGCAAGGAATGAGTAAGGAGTAATGAACGCGCTTGTTCTTGAAAGAAGAATGTGATCGGTTGCGTCACACGTCGGCATTGAATTTTGATATTAAATTCTGACGCATACCTCTTTCGGGTTATCAACAAGAGTCTTTTATTTTTACAATTGTTTTGTATTTTATATAGTTATTTGTACTATTTGTGAGAAATGTGATAATATATAATTTGCAAATAAAAATTGACAATTTTTATAAGTTGATTATTTAATAATTGAGGCATATTTATGTAAACTATAATTATTCTTACAAACTTTTATATTAAAAATGATTACATTCAGATTTAGCAAAATCTCAACAGATTTTTAAAGATCTCTGTTATCGCATAACCATTATTGTATTAATATTTACACTTTTTAATCTCTACCGCATTGCTCAGATAGATTCTGTTTAATTAAGAGATTAACTGCCCTAATAGCACATCTCTTGAGAGAAAGCTTTTATTGAAGCCATGCTTGCTTAATGCTAGAAGGCGCTTGCCTTATACGATATTTAGCGAGATGAATTTTCGCGAGAATTCAGGAGGGGAAGGGCGGATCGCGGCTGAGCGGGGGTTTCCTCGGGGAATTCGAAATTCCGGGAGACTCAAGGGGGGATCTTACCCTCGGGGTTATTCCGTATTCAGTGATATAGGTGGTCGCCGCAAAACTTCCCA